CCGCCCCCCGCACAGCTCATCACGCTGCGGGACTACGCTCCGCGCATCCTGGGCCCCGCGGGCTTCCAGCGGTACGTGGGCCCCTACGCGGGCTACGACCCCACCGTGAACCCCACGGTGTCCAACGTGTTCGCCACCGCCGCCTTCCGCTTCGGCCACGCGGCGGTGCGGCCGCTGGTGCGGAGGCTGGGCCCGGACTTCCAGGACCTCGCGGGGCTGCCCGGGCTGGGCCTGCACGACGCCTTCTTCAGCCCCTGGCGGCTCATCCGGGAAGGTGGGGGTCCGTCCACCCCCGGGGTCTGTCCACCCTCCCCGGGGTCCATCCACCCCCCGCGGTTGGTCCACCCCCCGCAGTTGGTCCATCCCCCGGGGTCCGTCCATCCCCCGGGGTCCATCCACCATGCACCCCTCGGGGTCTGTCCACCCCCCAGGATCTGTCCACCGTCCACCTCCCGGGGTCCATCCACCCTCCCCAGGGTCCATCCACCCTCCCCGGGGTCCTTCCACCCCCCGGGGTCCATCCACCCCCCGGGGTCCGTCCACCACCCCGGGGTCCATCTACTGCCCCAGGGTCCATCTACGGCCCCGGGGTCCGTCCACCGCCCCGGGAGTCTGTCCACCATCCACCCGCCCCGGGGTCCGTCCACCCCCCCCCGGGTCCGTCCATCCCCCGGGGCCCGTCCACCGCCCCGCGGGTCCGTCCACCTGGCCTGGCCTCACTGCCAGGCTGGCTGCATAGCTTGGGAAGGAAAGGCCACCAGACCCATCCCCAGCAAGTCTGCAGGAGATGGGAGGGAGCTGTGGCCGAGGGGGGAGAGAGAGAGGAGGGAGGGAGACAGACAGACAGACAGACAGCCATGCCCCATCACATGAAGCCTCAGGCACCCAAAGCCCCCAGGAAGTCGCCCATACCCAGGTGCTCTAGGGAGGATGCCACGGGGCCATCACTCACCCCACGTGTCCCCTGCCTGCCCGGCCCCTGCCCGCCCGGCCCCTGCCCGCCCGGCCCCTGCCCGCCCGGCCCCTGCCTGCCTGGCCCCTGGCCGTGCATGCCTCAGGAGGCCAGCCTTCCAATGAAAATAACTGCTTCCAGGTTAGATTGGAGAGAGTCTAGTTTCTGCTTCCTTCGTGCCCTCTCCCCCTCCCCCTTCCTCTCCCTCCCCTCTCCCCCTCCTTCTCCCTCTCTTCTCCCCATTTCCCTCAGCCCCACTTCTTCTCCCCATGTTCTTCCCTTCTAGAAGGTGCCCAAATCTCTGAGCAGCCCTGTCTGCAGTGGGGTCAGCCCAGTGGATGGGAAGCCATGACTGACTGAGACTCCCTGCCCCATGAAAAGCGGGAAAGCCCGGCTCCCCTTCACCCCTCACCCCAGGGCAGTGAACTCATCAGAGGAGCTGTTTTTGGCTTTGGGGGCTCTTTAGCAGACTGCACCCCACAGATGAAGGATTCAGATTGACGTGGGGCAGCCTCAGGCCCGGCAGGGGCAGCAAGGTTCCGGAATCCTTGCTTCCAGCCGAGTCCCGGCTGCTTAGTGTGTGGTTGCCAGGACACCCAATGTGTTCTTGGTTGTTGGAGTACACACACGTTTTCTTTTAACGTTTCTGCTATGAAAAGAAAGGCTGACAGCTGCAGGCTGGGGGACCCCTCGGGGCTCTTGGGCTCTGAGAGTCCTCCCTGGCCCCCTGCGGCCCGGCCAGCCCAGGCTCGGTCCACCACGAGAGCCAGGGCCACCTCACTGGGGGAAATCCACCCAAGGTTGTCAAGAATGAGAGTGAGAATCAGAAGTCCTGGCCCTGCTCCAGAACTCAGAGCAGCCTGACTCTCGCCCACTGTCCCTCAGGGCCGTGATCCCATCCTGAGGGGTCTCCTGACTCCTGACTCCACCCACTGTCCCTCAGGGCCGTGATCCCATCCTGAGGGGTCTCCTGACTCCTGACTCCACCCACTGTCCCTCAGGCCCTGATCCCATCCTGAGGGGTCTCCTGACTCCTGACTCTCGCCCACCTTCCCTCAGGCCCTGATCCCATCCTGAGGGGTCTCCTGGCTCCTGACTCCACCCACCATCCCTCAGGGCCGTGATCCCATCCTGAGGGGTCTCCTGGCTCCTGACTCCCACCCTCTGTCCTGCAGGGGGCCTGGATCCCATCCTGAGGGGTCTCCTGGCTCCTGAGTCCACCCACCATCCCTCAGGGCCGTGATCCCATCCTGAGGGGTCTCCTGACTCCTGACTCCCACCCGCTGTCCTGCAGGGGGCCGTGATCCCATCCTGAGGGGTCTCCTGACTCCTGACTCCCACCTGCTGTCCTGCAGGGGGCCTGGATCCCATCCTGAGGGGTCTCCTGACTCCTGACTCTCGCCCACCATCCCTCAGGCCCTGATCCCATGGTGAGGGGGTCTCCTGGCTCCTGACTCCCACCCACCATCCCTCAGGGCCGTGATCCCATGGTGAGGGGTCTCCTGACTCCTGACTCTCGCCCACCATCCCTCAGGCCCTGATCCCATGGTGAGGGGTCTCCTGACTCCCACCCACCTTCCCTCAGGCCCTGATCCCATCCTGAGGGGTCTCCTGACTCCCACCCACCATCCCTCAGGGCCGTGATCCCATCCTGAGGGGTCTCCTGACTCCTGACTCCCACCCTCTGTCCTGCAGGGGGCCTGGATCCCATCCTGAGGGGTCTCCTGGCTCCTGACTCCCACCCACTGTCCCTCAGGCCGTGATCCCATCCTGAGGGGTCTCCTGACTCCTGACTCCCACCCACCATCCCTCAGGGCCGTGATCCCATCCTGAGGGGTCTCCTGACTCCTGACTCCCACCCTCTGTCCTGCAGGGGGCCTGGATCCCATCCTGAGGGGTCTCCTGACTCCTGACTCCCACCCGCTGTCCTGCAGGGGGCCTGGATCCCATCCTGAGGGGTCTCCTGGCTCCTGACTCCCACCCACTGTCCTGCAGGGGGCCTGGATCCCATCCTGAGGGGTCTCCTGACTCCTGACTCCCACCCGCTGTCCTGCAGGGGGCCTGGATCCCATCCTGAGGGGTCTCCTGACTCCTGACTCCACCCACTGTCCCTCAGGCCCTGATTCCATCCTGAGGGGTCTCCTGACTCCTGACTCCACCCGCTGTCCTGCAGGGGGCCTGGATCCCATCCTGAGGGGTCTCCTGGCTCCTGACTCCCACCCACCTTCCCTCAGGCCCTGATCCCATCCTGAGGGGTCTCCTGACTCCTGACTCCCACCCACCATCCCTCAGGGCCGTGATCCCATCCTGAGGGGTCTCCTGGCTCCTGACTCCCACCCACCATCCCTCAGGGCCGTGATCCCATCCTGAGGGGTCTCCTGGCTCCTGACTCCCACCCGCTGTCCTGCAGGGGGCCTGGATCCCATCGTGAGGGGTCTCCTGGCCAGCCCCGCCAAGCTGCAGGTGCAGGACCAGCTGATGAGCGAGGTGCTGACCGAGCAGCTCTTTGTGCTGTCCAGCCCTGGCGCCTTGGACCTGGCGTCTCTAAACCTGCAGAGGGGCCGTGACCACGGCCTGCCCGGTGTGTGCACCCCCTAGACGGTGGACTGAAGGAGGGTGAGGGCCACGGCCACGGCTCTTTGAGAGACAGGGTTCAAGTGAAGCTGCCCACTCATCTGTCACCAGCTTCTGCCCCTAACAGCGGTGGCTCTCGTCTGTGGTGGCTCGTGTCTGTGGTGGCTCTTGTCTGTGGTGGCTCTTGTCTGTCTGTGGTGGCTCTTGTCTGTCTGTGGTGGCTCTTGTCTGTCTGTGGTGGATCTTGTCTGTGGTGGATCTTGTCTGTGGTGGCTCTTGTCTGTCTGTGGTGGATCTTGTCTGTGGTGGCTCTTGTCTGTCTGTGGTGGATCTTGTCTGTGGTGGATCTTGTCTGTGGTGGCTCTTGTCTGTCTGTGGTGGCTCCTGTCTGTCTGTGGTGGCTCTTGTCTGTGGTGGCTCTTGTCTGTCTGTGGTGGCTCTTGTCTGTCTGTGGTGGCTCTTGTCTGTGTCTGTGGTGGCTCTTGTCTGTCTGTGGTGGCTCTTGTCTGTCTGTGGTGGCTCTTGTCTGTCTGTGGTGGCTCTTGTCTGTCTGTGGTGGCTCTTGTCTGTCTGTGATGGCTCTTGTCTGTCTGTGGTGGCTCTTGTCTGTCTGTGGTGGCTCTTGTCTGTCTGTGGTGGCTCTTGTCTGTCTGTGGTGGCTCTTGTCTGTCTGTGATGGCTCCTGTCTGTCTGTGGTGGCTCTTGTCTGTCTGTGGTGGCTCCTGTCTGTCTGTGGTGGCTCTTGTCTGTGGTGGCTCTTGTCTGTCTGTGGTGGCTCCTGTCTGTCTGTGGTGGCTCTTGTCTGTCTGTGGTGGCTCTTGTCTGTCTGTGATGGCTCTTGTCTGTCTGTGGTGGCTCTTGTCTGTGGTGGCTCTTGTCTGTCTGTGGTGGATCTTGTCTGTGGTGGCTCTTGTCTGTCTGTGGTGGCTCTTGTCTGTGATGGCTCTTGTCTGTGGTGGCTCTTGTCTGTCTGTGGTGGATCTTGTCTGTGGTGGCTCTTGTCTGTCTGTGATGGCTCTTGTCTGTCTGTGATGGCTCTTGTCTGTGATGGCTCTTGTCTGTGGTGGATCTTGTCTGTCTGTGGTGGCTCTTGTCTGTCTGTGGTGGATCTTGTCAGTGGTGGCTCTTGTCTGTCTGTGGTGGCTCTTGTCTGTCTGTGGTGGATCTTGTCAGTGGTGGCTCTTGTCTGTGGTGCGTCTTGTCAGTGGTGAGTCTTTTCTGTGGTGGGCTGCTGTTTTGCATGTTGACGGGACCTTGCTGTGGAACCCAGGCTAGACTAGAACTCACTTGGTGACCATCCAGGACCCCTAGAGGGCAGGTGTGGGGACAGGCCCAGCTCCGGCAGTCACGCTTAGCTCTCCCCGCTGGCAGATAGCAGAGGAAGCTCGCTGCCAGGGCTCGGGGCTCCTCAGTGAGGGAAGGCCCGGTGGGGGGAGCTTCAGGGCAGATCTGCAGCAAATGCTGGGTTTCCCAGGGCACCCCGCGAACACCCCTCTCCACATTCCACACCGCTGCCAGCCTCTGAGACAAGCCAGAGCTCCCCGCGTGTGAAAGGCAGAGCACGCCCAGGGTGGGCGTGACCGCCACAGGCACCACAGCACCACCGTGGCCCCTGCGAGGTGACAATGCTAGGAACAGCTGAATCAGGTGCACGCACACACCTGTGTCACACACACCCCTGTGTCACACTTGCATCAAACACACACGTCTGTATCATATGCACACACACATCACGTACACCCACCCAGGCCCACACATCTGCCCCGAGGAGCCTGAAGGTGGGCAGCCAGCCTCCCTGATCGCTCAACATGAGCTTAAGATTTTACGTAGCGACGACCCCATTCTGTCCGTGTGTTTCTTCTTTCCTCTCACCTGCCTTCCCTGGACCTGTTCCCTGCGACTGGAAGCCCAGCCCGGCCCCGCCTCTGCTGAGCATCTGCCCACTCCACGGGTCTTCGCCAGGCCCCTGCTCACACACCAGCCAGGCACCCAAACATGACCCACGCCTGCCCCAGTCCTCTGTCCGCAGAGCCCAAGGAGACGTGGCCTGACCCCCGTGTGCATCTGTGCAGTGCTCTTGTCCTGCACTGGGAGTTAGACGTGGCAGCCTTAGCTCGAGGACCGCTGGTCGTGGAGGGATGGGGAGGGGGGGAGGCGGGGCGGGGGAGAGGACCGCGCACTCCTGATGTCGTTATGGAGCATAACTGAACTGGGAAAGGACCTGCCTCCGAATCTCAGTCCTCACTAACAGTCTGCTGAGCAATCCCCGCTCAGCTCCACGACTCTGGAGCTCAGACGTGCTCTTCATACCGCCCCGAGTCTGTCTGGGCAGCGCAGTGTGCCGGGCTTGCAGGGCAGGGCTGTGGGCTCTGTCCTGGCCCCTCTGCCTCGGGGAAGGGCAGACCCCGTAAACCCAGCTCGCGGTGGGCAGCAGGACCTGTGGGCAGGTGGATGTAAACACCCCTCCCCCCCCCCCCCCCCCCCCCCCCCCCCCCCCCCCCCCCCCCCCCCCGCGCGCAGGCTACAATGAATGGCGAGAGTTCTGCGGCCTGCCGAGACTGGAGACGCCAGCCGACCTGAACAAGGTCATTGCCAACAGGAGCCTGGTGGACCGGATCGTGGACTTGTACAAACATCCGGACAACATCGACGTCTGGCTGGGCGGCCTGGTGGAGGACTTCCTGCCGGGAGCCAGGACCGGTCCACTGTTTGCTTGCCTCATCGGGAGGCAGATGAAGGCGCTGAGGGACGGGGACAGGTGGGTGCCGCCTGCGGAGCGTCCGGAAGCCGCTGGCCCCGGCTCTGTGTGCCTCCGTGCTGCCCCGGCTCTGTGTGCCTCCGTGCTGGCCCCGGCTCTGTGTGGCTCCGTGCTGCCCCGGCTCTGTGTG